TCTAAGTGGCATGGTAAAAATAATGGCGTAACTTTAACAATGTTTGGTGACGATTTTACATGTGAGTACTCTTACAATCGACGACGGACAGGACTAGGGGCACCACCAGCTTAGTTTCATGGCTCTCTAATTTCTAAAACAAAAAAAATGGATCGGACAGAAAGGACCTCTGTACTACTGGCGGCCATATTGAGCAAATCCCCCCGAGCCTCATATACAGCGGGGTATATATGTATATCCTTTCTTAATTAAGCTGAGGTCAGCCACCATTCTCGGAAGGCACGGGCCCTTCCCTCGCCTTTTAGTCTATTGCCCAAAACCGCTCACGATTTATTCCGCCTACGCTTTCTTGGAAACGGTCAACACGATGAACAAACAATGCCTTTGGTGCGGTCAGTGATTAAAAGTGTAACGGAGACGTTTTAAAACATGCTGCATCACCTGTGACACATCCACGCAGCCGATGTAACGAATACCCGCCCAGGATAGCAGCAGTGATCCACAGGGGACCGTCCCGACGTCTTTAGCTCCTGACTCGTATGGCGACAGGCTGGCGGATACGGGAATGGAAAGTGGCGTTTGGGTAGCTTTTATCTAATGAAGCCGATATCACAGCACAATGATATCGAGTTGTGTGAGCCACTGGGGACGAGCTGTCCCAATCTCACGGTGTAGGCCAGGAATGCCAAATGGTTTTCAGCGGAGTTAGTTGAGGTGTTTTAGGCGGGAACGACGATCCCTGTGGAGACCTACAGTGTCTTTATTGGCAGGAGTACGTCCTAATAAGCCGCTAAGTTGGTCTTGTCAAGTTACCCTCCCGCCGAGCTCGCCCTTAGGTGTGATGATGAATACATTATTATTGGTGCGTCTGAGTCTGTCTGGTAGTTTGGAACTACATAAAAACTCAAATGAACAAACTTAGCTTGCTAGGTAACTAACAAGCAATCCCGCAATACTTGTTACAAAGCCGTCCACATGACATGATTCTCTGACATGGCCACACACTGAGCTCTCGTGTATCGGGATGAAAACGTTATCATCGGTGCGGTATTAACTGCATATCTAGTAGTAAAACTATGCATACGTACAAACACATAACACTTTTGTACGGTTCTCCAAACGACGGTTCCCGGCCACAGACTGAGCTTTCCCGTGCCGTGATGAAATACGTTATTACCGGCCCGGAGTCCGTGTGTCTGGCCGTACAACACTACAGAAGTACAAACAAACAAACAAACAAACAAACAAACAAACAAACAAACAAACAAGCAATTTTGTACAATTCTCCACACATAACGACGCTGTTCCCGGCCACAGACTGAGCCCTCCCGTGTCGTGATGAAATACGTTATTACCGGCCCGGAGTCCGTGTGTCTGGCCGTACAACACTACAGAAGTACAAACAAACAAACAAACAAACAAACAATTTTGTACAGTTCTGCACACGTAAACGACGCTGTTCCCGGCCACAGACTGAGCCCTCCCGTGCCGTGATGAAAAACGTTATTACCGGCCCGGAGTCCGTGTGTCTGGCCGTACAACACCACAGAAGTACAAACAAACAAACAAACGAACAAACAAACAAACAAACAAACAAGCAATTTTGTACAATTCTCCACACATAACGACGCTGTTCCCGGCCACAGACTGAGCTCTCCCGTGCCGTGATGAAATACATTATTACCGGCCCGGAGTCCGTGTGTCTGGCCGTACAACACCACAGAAGTACAAACAAACAAACAAACAAACAAACAAGCAATTTTGTACAGTTCTCCACACATAACGGCGCTGTTCCCGGCCACAGACTGAGCTCTCCCGTGCCGTGATGAAATACGTTATTACCGGCCCGGAGTCCGTGTGTCTGGCCGTACAAACCTCCATGAGAAGAGATCTTCATCAAGCCCAGTTATCGGCGCGGAGGACTTTGATTCGCCCCGAACTGTCTGCCATGATGTACGGTGTGCGGAGCGGGGGGCGGGCTGATGTGATCCCTCCGATGTTTCAGGCGACAACCGCCTATTAAAACGCCCGGGATGTGTGTCTGAATTAATCTCGCACTTTTCAATTACTGGTATTTATCATCTTTGGACGGGCACAAACGTAACCTGAGGGAAAGTTCCCGCAGTGTGATTCATATCTGTGAAGAACGGATATTGTGTAAATTGTCTGCGAGATAGAAGCACTTTGTCATCGCAGAGATACGCATTAAGGGTATTAGTGACTTTCTGGCCCCAAACTGTCGCAGTAAAGCATTTTCTTAATCTGCTTAGTCAATATTTCACAAGCGGGACAATTTGCCTCCACAGGAGGCCTGAGCCCAAAGTTAGATATAAAGTAGCATAGCCCCTAGCGAATACGCCACGCACGAGGCAAGTGACCTTGTTCACGTCCGATAAAACTGGTACAATTGATAACCAATACGTCCGAGACACTATTTGTATTATAAGGACTGAATGAATTTAAGCACATCGGTACGCACAACAATGAATTGGTACGTGATTATAAAATACAGTTTTGCTGCTAAGTTCCTTCGGGGAATTTGCAAATTAAGTTCCAGTTTAATTTGAGAATTTCTTATTTTACCCTATGCCATTTTTCGCACTAGAAGTAGGTTTCTGTAAGTTGGGCTTCAGTAAGAATTATGCTTATTCTGAATTCTACACAAGTTCTACACGGTTATATTATTCTATCAATGCCTTGGGAAATACCGAGAGCTTAGTTCAGATAACCACTGCCGCACCATCTGAACTCGCCACAATATCCGACGAGTTTTCTATCACCGTAAAAGATTTTTCAGCGTTCGTGAGAAGAATTTATAATTGCTTCGCTGTGGTACGCGACACGCAACTTTCACACATGTATACAGACTGCAATGTACCGAACGGGTTTGAAATTGCTCTGTAGCTGATATGGGTGACGTCATACAAAACGTACCGCTAAGGCGTGGGAGAGGCGCCCCGTGCGGAGCCTGCATGAAGTGCAGCATGCGCCACATGCAGCATCTGCCCCAAACCCGGAATCAGCATATCAGTCAGTTTCCGATTTTGCAAGACTGCTAGCAATACCATATGTACAGAGTTATGCTATTTACCTCAAACAACCAGCCAGGAGGTAGAATCCGAACTATTTATTTTTTAGCATCTACATATTTTTGGATCCCCATTCCATACCTCTACGGTTCGGACTTCCATGTAACATCCTTTCTTCTCCTTCTTCTCCTCATTCAACTTTGATACGGAAATTCAAACGAACAGGTTTTGCAGCCCTTTACCCCTGTTATGTCCTCAACGCTGTAAACACTTTACAAAAGTTTATGACGTCATCGGTAGAATTCAAGATTCAGGTTTGAGCAAGACTTAGTGTACGTTATACTTAAACATATATTGGATCAATAGCGCTGCTAGACTATTCATTGTGGAGCTGCAGTCATTGGCGGAAAGAGTTGTTCTGTAAGTTCCAAAGAAAATCGTCTTAATTTCAGCTTAACACTTTTTGTAGTTTTATGAAATTACTTTTAAACAGAATCAATTATTAGAACAATCCTAAAATTTGTAAATTCATACTTACACTCCCTTACAATATCAAATGACTAGAGGAACCATGCAGTGCGGCATACAAATAAATTATCAGTCTGTAACAATAACTGTGAATGATAGCGATGATAGAAGGAGACAAGAGCGAGCTACGGCGCAATGGATCACAATGCAGTCAGTCCGATATGACACACTCTGTATAGTGCGTTTCAATAGGTAGCAGAATAGCTAGGAAGATAACAAACTAAAATTGCCAACCTGTATCTTCCGATGGCGTTTTTCCATCGTTAGATATCAGTTTAAGCGTTCCTTCCGTACCCTTGCAGACAAAGACTTGAGGTTAAGCTGTCTAAACACTCAGGAGACAGCCGTTGAAGATATCGTATTCTGATACTCCTTTGAGCAAATTACCAAATATGCGGGTAATCCACCCTTCACGGTCCCGCAGATAGCGGGGTGGTTTGATGAATTTCTCGGCAGCTCGCAGGAGCCTTCAAGTCTGGAGACATGAAAGACGCTCAGCGTGTTAATTAATCAGCGGGAATTATCGGGGGCAGATCCGCCTGTACCGTGTGACAAATTATGTAATGGATGGCGCGCGGGGGAAGGGTGAGGGTATTGGATTCCCATGGACAAATTACTAAAGATACGGACGTGTCGGGAAGACGCCCTAGGCTCCAGTCAATATCTAACGGGACTGGTTATTGTAAGGAAGGAATTAGGAAAACTGGCTTTTGGATTCTAGTAAAGGTAAGAATCGATTTCAGCGAAAACTCTGTGGTAATCTATCGGGATTTGTGGACTTTGCTATGTGGATGGGGCGCTCGTTTCCGGTGCTGAAATTCTTGTGAATAGAATTCATAAGGAGAAAGTCCATACAGCAGGGACTTCGGGCACAACCATGTACTATAGAAGGGGTGATAGGGTGGGAGGGCATTTCAGTACCATGGACACAACCATGTACTGTAACAGGGGTGGTAGGGTATTTCAGTACAATGGACACAACCATCTACGGTAATAGGGGTGGTAGGATGGGATGGCATTTCAGGACCATGGACACAACCATTACTGTAGCAGGGGTGGTAGGGTTGGATGACATTTCAGTAACATGGACACAACCATGTACTGTAGTAGGGGTGGTAGGGTGGGATTACATTTCAATACTATGGACACAACCATTACTGTAGCAGGGGTGATATTACATTTTAGGTGGGATTACATTTCAGCACCATGGACACAACCATGTATTGTAGCAGGGGTGATATAGGGTGGGATTACATTTCAGCACCATGTATTGCAGCAGGGGTAGTGATCACACTCAGATAATGAATTAAAGGTTGTAATAGCCCATCATGTTAAATTGAGGTATAGAATGGAATCATGTTTAGCACCCTGGCCACAATATACCTAATTCATGCAGTCTTTCTATCCCTTATCTACACCACATAAAAATCACCAGGCCACATCTGAGAAGACAGCTGTATTTCTGAGGTGTGAATCTGACACAAATACTGCTTTGGTACATATAAATGTATTCCTATTCCTAATATATCAGGGTATACACCATATGAGCAGCTTTGACGTCTTGAATTTTCATAAGATTACAAATGGATGAAACATTCCATGTACCATAAGTTATGTTTGAAACTGTGATATCATCTTAAATGCCATCTTCATTATCATACTGTTCCATTGATATGTGAACTTTACTGATGAATAAATATCAGTACAGATTGTTTAAAACATATAAATAGTTTTAATGCCTTTATGGTAAAACTTCACAATGTGTAAAAAGGGACTATCAATAGACTTTGCACCTTACCCAAATAAAACACTGTCAAACATCTCAGTGAAACTATATGTACACATATTAAGTATTTATACACAATACTATGTAATGTGGTATAGTTTTCTTCTAAATGTATCTATTGCAAAAGACCATATACATGTGTATTGTTTATGTACTGCTATCTGCTGTCTGTCAGCTCCAGGGCCGGGTCCTCACACACGGAGGTTGTTACACACCTCGTGGGTCAGGTCAGTGGTCGTGGCGTATCCTCCCATGTCCTTGGTGCGAACCTGGAAGAAACAAGTCTAGCATCTCAACAACTCATCCTTCCTACACTTCTACTTCACAGGTTTAGCACAAAGCCATGTCTGTAAAGTTACTAATTCACATGTTGCTTAAAAAATGCTTGAATACCAACCAGGAAAGGGGAAAATCCAGCAAAAACGGTGTAAGTGAACTTTTGTTAAAAATGTAGATTCTGAACTGTCCAGTTTTGTCTCATAGTGTTTCCTGATAGAAAAAAAACTTGCAATTTGCTGCTATTTTCTGGTACAATTGCACTTTTGCATCTCATTTGAAGCAGAAGAAATATCTACACCTTTTTCATCAGCTAAGCCCCTTTTACTGGTTGGCAGTGCTACTTCAGATACAAGTGTGTCAGTAACAAGAATGTCAGACAGTAAAGACTAGACAAAGCTGCTGTATTTCCCCTTGTGTAGGTTGTCTATGATGGCAGTGGTGAGATCTGTTGTTGTTGCATATCCTCCCATGTCTCTCGTCCGAACCTGTGAACCAGGCCAGAAGTGTTAAGTGTTAAGAAAGACAAACACATGTACAAGACAACATTAATCTTGATCAAACCTGATAAATCCCTCCAGGTCAAAATATCAGCATTTTAATTCAAACACAGGTTGCATTAAAAAAATTCATTGGCATTTATAAAATGAATTGGTAAGACCTTGTAATTTACATATTTTGTTTTCATTTCTGAAGGAAAAATAGAGCCAAAGATGGTTTCAAAGCAAACTGATACCTATAACATATTTAAGCAAAGTATTAATTGAATTGTGAGAGAAGGCGGAAGCTACTGCTTGGCAGCTTGAATAGTCTTCATTAAAAATCAGTGTATCAAATCAGGACCAGTGAGTATTCCATCTTAAATGGAAGGGAGCAGTCAAGAAAGAAATAGGGTGGGGATGAATTCTTACATAGGAACTGGTAATTAGAATTATCACACACTTAATTAGACATGCAACAACCATGGAGGTAGTACCTGAGGATTATAAGAGGGGAGAAAAAAACACTTTAGGAAAAGCATACAGTTTTGTATGAGTCTGTAAGATGTGTAGATGGACAGAGAGTCATCAAACCTTGTCCTGGTAGAACACAGAGAATCTTTAGAAGAAAACATTGATAAGTTATGACTGGTGCACCTAATAATTACTATTGGATGAGAACAGACTAGAATGTAGAGAATCATTAAGTCAAATTTAGTAAATGACAGTTATAGCACTCAAGAAATACCAAGTGAATATCTATACCACCTCTATATTATATCTTTGTACTGTGATATGCATATGTAAGGTTGGTTGTTACACATGACATGCAACATTTTAAGCACTTCTGTATTCAATTTGCAACTAGTATGTGACATGCACTGCAAGAATATGCAGAAGGTATAATGTTGTTTAGTCTAACTTGGTACCATACAAACTTTTATGATTTCATAGTTTAAAAATCTGGACATACATTGCTTGTGGACTATTAAAATCTTTTATTGGAAAAGCAAGCCAGAAGCAAATGACCAGTCAGTCCAACCAAAAGATCCAGGTTGTATGTCCTCTATGTGTTTGTCTGTTCCTGGTAAACTTACCTTCCCAACTTTGATCACCCTTTCTACAGCATCAGAGATCATCTGTCCATGGTACTCCAGACTGGGGAAATACAGCATTGGAACAATCACTTAAATGTGTCTTGCTCAGTCCTATTGGAATGGGACGCCAATGACACTATTCCAGACTGTCGTATAGTTTGGGAAATTGTATCAAATGTAAGGACAAGTAGGCTATACAGATATAACATAAACAAAATAAAATTTTCTTCTGGGGCCCTTCTATTGCAAGTACTATAGGACTTACTGCATGTGTTTGAGCATGTTGGCAGCAGACAGCAGCATGGCTGTGGGGTTGGCGATGTTCCTGCCCACTGCCTGGGCAAACGGGTGACGTGCTCCCTGTAACAGGAATCTAACTTATCAGGCTGTAGACTTGTGCACAGGAAGGCAGCACATCAAAGGAAAAACCATCTACCTCTTCTCAGACAAGGCAGTAACAGTGTACAATGTAGGAAGTACCCTGTCAAGATTTACATACAAAAGAAATTGAGACAATACACTTACTAAAGGCAATGGTCTATCCTGGGTTTGCTTCTATTTTGTACTTTCAGTTTCACAAAGAAAGTGTAAGAAATAAGAACCTGGCTGTACGAATCAGAATAAAACCCTGACTCACAGTCTCAAACACTGCATAGCTGTGGCTGTAGCTTTCCCCAGGCACGATCCCTGCCCCGCCCACCAGCCCTGCCGCCAGGTTATCCACGATGTTCCCGTACAGGTTAGGCATCACCATCACATCAAACTGGTACGGATTGGACACCAACTGCAGGGGACAAACCACAACAACTCAGCTTTCAGGGCAGATATAACTTTGAAGTAAAAGTATATAAGCGTATCAAAAAAACACCAAAAGATGGAACCAATGTGTATTTGACATGACAATGTGTAGTTGACAAGAAACAATGTGTATTTGACAAGAAACAATGTGTATTTGACAAGAAACAATGTGTATTTGACAAGAAACAATGTGTATTTGACAAGAAACAATGTGTAGTTGACAAGAAACAATGTGTAGTTGACAAGAAACTTATTCCTTTGTAATTCAATGTTTACCTGCATGCAGCAGTTGTCGATGATCATGTTCTCAAATTTGATGCGTGGGTACAGCTCAGACACCTCCTCACAACACCGCAGGAACATCCCATCACCCATTTTCCTGAGAAATAAATTGTGATTAAATAATATCTAATATTCCAATTGTAGCAAGGATAGACACTATGGAAAGTGAATAAAGGTTTGATGTACCAGATAAAATTCTGCATTCTGTCTATTGTGATAGTGTGACACAGAAAAGAATTGTGCCTACATGATGTTAGCCTTGTGTACAGCTGTGACCTTCTCCCTCCCATGTTTGGTGGCGTAGTCGAAGGCAAACTTGGCGATGCGGCGAGACTTCTCCCTGGTGATGATCTTCAAGCTCTCCACAACCCCTTCAACACTCTGGAGGTCACACATATCAACAGGTAGGGGTGAGTCAGAACTTCTGTCATGCATATGTTTCTAAAGATACTGAAATCTGGGAATATTTCTTTCTTTTTTAAATGTTTTTTTAAAATGGATTTTCTTCTAAAGGACCACAACATCTATCAATAATATGTGCAAACTTTAAGGACTTGTCCCCTTGGGATCCAGGGGAAGGAGATAACTAACCACCAGACAGAAGGTCTGACAGAATGCATTCAAATAGGTTTAAAAATATGTCCAAAACAGGTATAACTCTGCTTGGGGAGCAAGCTGCAAATAAAGAAGCCCTACCTCATGTTCCAGTGAGCTGTACTCCCCCTCTGTCTGTTCCCTGATGATGACAAAGTCCAGGTTGTGGTGTCGAGTCTTCAGCCCCGCCATACTCTTCACACGCACCACGTTAGCAAACAGGTCCAGCCGACGTCTGAACGTGGCAGCAGGGAGAAAATACCGGTATTACCAGTCAGCTCAAAAACAAAATATCACTTCAGGGGACAAACCAGGAAGGATCATGGGGGGATGAAAATGGAACAAAACGTATGCATTTAGGCATGATAAAAAAATTGCTGACATAAGAAAATGATTAAAAAAAAAGATTTTTTGGACTTTTATTGGAAATTGAATATTTGAACTTGCACACAATCCTTCTTGGTTCATCAATAATTGATTTTTTCTGAGAGGATGGTGACCTTTTTTTTCACAGCAGAAATTATTTTCCAATATATAATGTATTCTTGTCTAGATTTTGGCATTGATGTTATATAGCAATGTTCTTGCTTGCAGTGCCATTGGTTATAAAAGACCTAGCAAGACATATATTTCCACTTGACGGGCCTGCTATGTGATATGAGCAAGTATGTTTTGTTTTCTGTTGCCAATAATAAGCCATTTACCTCATCCTCATGTTCATGCCCATAAGTTCCCCATGGGTGGGTGTCCGTATGTTGCCTGGTGGCAGCGTTAATGATAACAAAACACAAGGAAACACAACAACAATGTTAGAATTAAACCCAGATTTTACAATCATTGTTAGTTGGGTTATCATAGCCATTCATTTTCCAAGTCATTTGTCTTTGATACGAAGCAGTCAGTGGTAACACAGAACACAATGTCAGTAGTGATATTGTTATGATGTCTTCAAACATTACCATTTTATCAAGTGATCTTTCATTCAAATAGTGAAAGATCCACAGTACTGACACTTATAGTCAAAGACAAATGAGCAGAGCTATGAAAGTGAAACAAGAAACTTGTCTTCCTGTACCACTGATATTTTCCTACAACTTCTGTTCAACAGCCAAAGTTAGTGTTAGTGGGTTGGTTACTATAGTTTGCGTGGAAGCAAGTGTTGTACCTGAGTTTCATGTTTACACCCATAAGCTCTCCTGTCTTAGTAGGTGTAGGTGTGGTTATATAGCCTGGAAACACAAAAACGCGGTACAGGGATGCATAAACATTACAGACTGAAGTACTAACAGCAACATCTGTAAACATTACACTGGCACATGACACCATCTGCAAGGACAAAATACATGGTGGTTAGGGGAAAACAAAGTCCATGCCACAACTTCACATGGATAGGCACACTGCTGTTGTCTACAACGGATTCACCTGAAAAGACATACAGTATTGTCTTAGCTGTTGGAATACGGGGGAGTTGTTATCAACCATGCAAAAACAGAGATTGTAAGTACAGTTGTATGCAATCTGTAAATATAAAGAACAAGACTACACATGTATCATTTTGTCATCATTAAGCTCGCTTTATCTAGCATTTTAAATGATCTTTAAACTGAAAATTCTACATAGGCAAAGTAAAGTAAACTAAGGAAATCATTCATTGACAAATATAATTGGAGTGTGAAATTGAAACTGCACTAATCACTTTTCTTTGGGTAGATTAAAAAACACCATATAAAGCATACAATCCTCTACATAGTGGCAATGTCCCAAATCTTTATTCAGACTTCTTCTCTATGGATGCAAATTGTATGGTAGTTTGGATGCTAAGCAAGACAGTGACATTTGTCACAACATTCCAATGGCTCATGCTCTGTACTGATACAAAATGTAGTTGCATGCATGTTGAGGTTCATTTATCAATAAAGTGTAATCCTCAAAATTTAAAAAGAAAGAAAACAGATGGTAACAAACCCATACAGGTACATGTATGTGAGGACAGAAGACTTTTATAGATGTGAAACAAGAAGGTCACAGATACATGAATCATTAATTTGGGTTCTACGACAACTAAGCTATGACACTGGAATCAGAGACTGTGTTAGGGTAGAGACAACACAAGTACACATCATTGCAAGAGCACAATGAATGAGTGGCCACAGTTCTATGATGGTGTAATGATGGATTAGGGTGTGGCTTGTTGCCATGGTGAGTACCTGACGTCCATGTTGAGAGATTGCAGGTCACCGACCTGTAGCCAGGCAGGGGTGTTTATGGTGCCTATGGGAGGAGCAGTGAGCAGGGAAGAAAGGATGAAACAGATGGAAGAAAGAGGAAAATGTTAAAGAAAAGGTAATGCTACAAAACTAGAAAGGCCAATATTTGCTTTGGAGCAAATATAGCGATGGGTTCACCACATTTTACGACATGGCAGGGAAAGAATGAGAAACACAAGGGAAAACAATGATTTACATTGATATAACTATAATATGAAGTAACATACAACTAAAACAACAGTTGGATAGCTATTCCCTACTTTATTGGTTAGGATTTTTAATTGCATAATGCAAACTGTTGATTTTCAAAAAAAAAAAAAACGTTCATGCCCCGCATTCCAATGCTGGAGCAGAAAAGCTTGAAATACCTACCAAAACACTTGAATAAAGACATACTGTCGGTATGGAAATGCTCTGTGCAGGTGTTAATCAAGTTAAATCCCAACAGCCAATCAGCAAGAAATGCTCTGTGCAGGTGGAAATGCTCTGTGCAGGTGTTAATCAAGTTAAATCCCAACAGCCAATCAGCAAGAAGTATAGAGGAAAGCTGCATGCCTATTGGTTGATGCCCTGCATTCCATTGTGATGACTCATGCCCAGACGTGGTAAACACGGCACACTAACACAGTAATACATTTGCTATAACACAGCCAAAAAACTCAAATAAAACCATTCTAAAAGCCTGTATCACAAAAATTTAAAAAACGCCTGGGGGTATTTGCCCACTGTACCTCCATACCAAATTTCAGGACCTTAGGCCCTAAAATGAAGAAGCTGAATCCATTTAAAAAATGGCAGGAAAAGAAGGAGGAGGAGGAGGAGGAGAAGAAGAAACATCAGAAAAAGCAATATGGGTTCACCACCACTTCGTGGTGTGGTGAACCCATAATAAAAGATGAGGTAAAGAAGAATTTATAACTTGCATGTAGGTCCTTTTTGATGATGGAAGAATGAAGGTGTAGGTGTGGTAGAATGAGACATTAGATCCTAATGTTTACAACGGTTGTACGTACCTTTGAGTCCGACCCCCGTCCTTTCAAATGACTGGATGACCTTGTCCACAGTGTCCTGGTGGTCCTGGCCCCAGTCTTGGACCTCGCTCACATGGATCTCCTCAAAATCTACAGGCACTAATGCATGTTTGAACACCTGTACAAGGACAAAAAAGTCCATAAACAAACTAACACAAGCACAAGAGAACAGTAATCTACTTATAGCTACAGATATCAACTCTTGCATGCTATGTCTATGTACATTGTTAGCAGTAAGACAGTCAATCAGTTCAGGACTTCTAAGACTACCCTTAGGAGAGCTGGTTGTACAAGGTCTGCGTAAATCATGAAGATCAGTTCATACAGGTACTGATGCCTTTCTCTACTATATCTGCTACCATGGTGTATAAAGCTACAGTCCCCACCTCCTTGACTGAGTGCATGAGCTCAGGTCCAATACCATCTCCAGGGATCATTGTCACCTTCTGGTTACCCTTAGGCTTGGAGACAGGAGCAGCAACGGCCTGTGGATTAAGACAGAATTAAACATGTTGCAAATGCCATTTGTTCACAGTTCTTGCAGCTTATTAGTACAGCACTTGCTTTTTCACCTTTTTTATATGTTTCTCTTCTGTACAAAATGCAGACCATAGTGAACCAATCACCCAATAATAGCATGAAGGAGGTTACTAATACTTTCTTAAACCGTCCTCTAGATTTCTAATAGGAAGAATATATTGTCCATGTCAATATTATAATACAGAGGAGAGGACAATTGCCTCCTTCATTAGCTGACTTTGTGACTGGAGCCTTTTTGGGGCTTTTATAATGTACTCATTTAGTATCTTATGGTGTATCCCTACAATTTGTAACTGGGTCCTTGTCCTTGTGCTGGCCCTTTGAAGAAAGGCATTTTAAATCCCTTCTTACTTTGCGGTGCTAAAATATGGAAGGCTCTACACTGGGCTGATACTGAAGGACCCCCCCCCCCCCCAAAAAAAAAGCTCCAGTCATAGAGTCTAGTACCAGCTCTTGTATCAGTGAATCAATGTTTACCGGATCTTGAGCAGGTATCGTGGTGGAGACGGCCCTGCTGCAGAGGACAGAGGCTGGCTGCCATTGTAGCTGTGGAAAAATCATATGGATGATCCAATTAATGAGCTGTATTTTGTACTGTACTGTACAGTGCACTGGATTGTGCTAAATTATATTACAGCGGGTAGTACCCCCCCCCCCATCAAGTACAAATTATTCCAGAATACTGATCCATCCCACATGCTAGCAAAAGGTGATGTCTGAAATATTATAAAGGGACAACCTTTCATGTTTATGCTTTGACTAAGATAAGCATACATGTTCATACGAGGCAGCATTGGAAAATGTGAAATGAAGATAAATCGCTAACATCGCAGTCAACTGCAGAATAATTTTTTAGAAGAGCGCACGAGGATCTGCTTTGAATTGAGTATTTTCACCAACACCACATGGATAACAAAATACTCGCACACACAGTGTTCATTCACTCCTTACCCACAAAATTGACATTCGTGAGCAAATTCGTTGAAAAACCTTACTTTTGTTGCCGACCCCACGAGTGTCCGGACGACCGCTGCCATCTTGTTCCAATGTCACATTCGATTACGCAACTTCCGGGTTTAATCAGAACCTTTGACCCCTACTGGGTTTTACCACTAGTATAACGGGGTAAAAGCATAAAAATGCACAAAAATCTGTTACTAGTAATGCTTACAAACATAGCCAGGGTTTGTCTACATCTTTGGCTATTGTTTCTTTTCCTTTTTATCATGGAAGTGTTGTAAAAGAAGGCTTATCTAATAATATTTGCAGTGTTATTATTTTCATACATTCTCCCTGCTAGGCACAGTCTTCTGCTCCATTTTTTTTATTCCCGGTAAAAAGTTTTTCAGCTGTAACAGAATAATTTTGCTCTTGTTGCTGGCAGTGGACAAACGGCCACACAGTGCTAACCTGTCAAGAGTTCAAAGAGAGATCTCGACGATCATGGCTGTCAGGCTGACTGGGCGACTTGTGTCGACAACTTGGCGGTGCTTCTTCAAGGTGGTGACATACTTCATAAGTTGAACTATTTAACGTTACCTAAAATACCTGTCATGTGTTGTCGATATTTTTGTTCAAGTGAACTAACGTTAGATACTGTTTGTGTGCTTCATGTCTTGTATTAACATGATAGATGTTAGCATTTATATTTGTACACATACGTACCCAAATGCGTCACTACTATTTATTGCCCCAAATATAAAGGGGGAGGGGCGGTACCCCAGCTTCACTCATGTCGACCAAAGTGTTCTTTGCGGTATCTCTAAAGTGATGTTAACAATTTCTGCCTTGAAGGCAGAACCTTGGCTACTGAATATAAACAAACGTGTGGACACGGTGCTTGGACGAGGTCACCCTCGGGTCACTTTCACTATTTAGGTCACCATTTACAATTGGTAGCTGTCTCTCAAGAAACATGAGGATGTGATTTAATGTNAGGAATAATGGCTATCATGACCTCTTGACCTCTCCTCTCAGCGTTGACCAAAATACGACTGTGCACGACTATTTAACGATCGGGGTCGTAGAAAGATCGTTAAATGGTCGTAATATGGTCAATGGGACTTTATACATTCAGAATGGCAGTCGTGTTTCAGTCGTTGTAAGAGTCGTGATGAGGTCGTGCAAAATAAACGACTCGATCCAGACTTCTATACGCCCCAAGTCAGACCGATCAACGACCTGCCCGTGCACTGTGATTATTCCAGACATTCCAGAATACTGATCCATCCCACATGCTAGCAAAAGGTGATGTCTGAAATATTATAAAGGGACAACCTTTCATGTTTATGCTTTGACTAAGATAAGCATACATGTTCATACGAGGCAGCATTGGAAAATGTGAAATGAAGATAAATCGCTAACATCGCAGTCAACTGCAGAATAATTTTTTAGAACAGCGCACGAGGATCTGCTTTAATTGAGTTTACTATTATAATGGACAGAGTATTTTCACCAACACCAAATACTCGCACACACAGTGTTCATTCACTCCTTACCCACAAAATTGACATTCGTGAGCAAATTCGTTGCAAAATCTTACTTTTGTTGCCGACCCCACGAGTGTCCGGACGACCGCTGCCATCTTGTTCCAATGTCACATTCGATTACGCAACTTCCGGGTTTACTCAGAACCTTTGACCCCTACTGGGTTTTACCACTAGTATAACGGGGTAAAAGCATAAAAATGCACAAAAATATGTTACTAGTAATGCTTACAAACATAGCCAGGGTTTGTCTACATCTTTGGCTATTGTTTCTTTTCCTTTTTATCATGGAAGTGTTGTAAAAGAAGGCTTATCTAATAATATTTGCAGTGTTATTATTTTCATACATTCTCCCTGCTAGGCACAGTCTTCTGCTCCATTTTTTTTTAATTCCCGGTAAAAAGTTTTTCAGCTGTGACAGAATAATTTTGCTCCTGTTGCTGGCAGTGGACAAACGGCCACACAGTGCTAACCTGTCAAGAGTTCAAAGAGAGATCTCGACGATCATGGCTGTCAGGCTGACTGGGCGACTTGTGTCGACAACTAGGCGGTGCTTCTTCAAGGTGGTGACCTAACAGCTGTTACTTCATAAGTTGAACTATTTACCTAAAATACCTGTCATGTGTTGTTGATATTTCTGTTTAAGTGAACTAACGTTAGATACTGTTTGTGTGCTTCATGTCTTGTATTAACATGATAGATGTTAACATTTATATTTGTACACATACGTACCCAAATGCGTCACTACTATTTATTGCCCCAAATATAAAGGGGGAGGGGCGGTACCCCAGCTTCACTCATGTCGACCAAAGTGTTCTTTGCGGTATCTCTAAAGTGATGTTAACAATTTCTGCCTTGAAGGCAGAACCTTGGCTACTGAATATAAACAAACGTGTGGACACGGTGCTTGGACGAGGTCACCCTCGGGTCACTTTCACTATTTAGGTCACCATTTACAATTGGTTAGCTGTCTCTCAAGAAACATGAGGATGTGATTTAATGTACCTGAGCAGGCCGTTGTTGGCATTTGGTTGATGGGGGGGGGGGATAACATAAACAAGTGGAGCAAACATAAGGTAATTCAGACGAAAGTCTACCCACAAGTGTTAAAGTCTATCTAACAGATAGACCAAAATATGCATCATCATATGTCTTTGAAAGCAAGAAGATTTCACAATCATTTTGAATACCCGTGAGGATCTCATTCTGTACCGTACCCTCCCCCCTCGTTTGTGTTGACCAGCCACCACCTACTTCACTGTCTTTTTCAGAACATTCAATAAAAAGTCAAAGCGTTGAAGATGTCATCAGTACCAGCAGTAGGGAGAATTGCGGTGGTTCTTATTGATCTACAGCAGTCATTCACTCGTGGACTCTGGGCTGCCTGCCTTGGGGAGACAAAAGCAGAACACATCAGGCAATGTTTCAGACGTTGTGCCGACCTGCTTGTGAAGCTTAAGAAGGACGTTCCTGTCCTGCTGAGTCGCTGTCCAGTTGGAGGGTATGATCTAGACTGGGCTGAGGAGGTGGAGGAGATTGTGTCAGCTAAGGCCTACCCTACGGTCATCAAGTATGACAACAACATCTTAGATGCCACAGGGTTTGCAGAGTGGCTTGGGAAGATGATGAGAAGTGGGGTGTCGACCCTTGTGGTGGGAGGGTGTACGACCACCAGCTGTGTGCGTGTGTCGTCCTCACAGATCCAGCGCTCCTTTTCCAACAGTGGGCTGCAGGTGGTGGTTGACCTCAGTCTTTGCAGTGCTCGTGACAGTAACTACGTCCCGCGGTGCCAGGCCTGCATGGACAAGTACATGATGTATGGTATGGACTGCACCTGTGACAGGTGTGTCACTCCAGGTGTTCCAGCTGTCTCACCTGTGGACAAGGCCATGGAATACATGAGGGAATCAGGTGTCCAGGTGGTCCAGGGGTTTGACTGGACACCATTTGTTGAGGAATGATGAGGTATTGTGTAAAGTATTGAAAGGCACAATAGGTTTTGCATATTCTCTACTCAAAATTCAACATTAATCAAATGTCTTAACTTGTGTTTACCAACCACCACCTACCAGTTAATTATAATGTTCTTTGAATGTCCTGTGGTGCTAGTCACAGATGTCTGACTACTTTTAGAT